AAGCAGGGGTGAGTCTAAAGAGGGACACGGCGGTTTTTACTAATTATTTTGCACCTTTTAGATTATTAAACAGAAAATGTAATAGAAGTACAATTATTGCTTCAGCTACTCAGCAGTATGTAAAATGAGTTTAGTTTTGTTCAGAGACTAGATTAACCCACAAAGTTGGCGACAGTGGGAAGGAAGAACTCCCTTTTTAACAGGAAGAAATCTGGGAAAAACCAGGCTTAGAAGACTGATATATTTCATCACCGCTGCTTTCAGCAGTGAAATCCTGTTGTTATATGGTGAACGCCCGCCTCCAAAGCAGACAACCCCAACTAAACCTGAGTCCCTCCATCTTTTTGTTTTTAGAACTGAACAGGCTTCTTGTTTGAGAGATGAAATGTCTTCACACACGTGCAGAAGTCCAGGCACCGTCTTTTTCACACTCTTAGGAGTAGAAAAGAGATTCCTCACATGAATAGATCAATACTCACATGGGCTGCTCGCCTAAAGTTCATCATCTTCACAAGAATTCACAGCAACAGGTGATATGAACGAGACAGCTGTCTAATCTGAAGACACATTACAGTCTCGCCTGCAGATTATCTCATGAAACCAGCTGGCTTTCCCTAACCTCAACTGGAGTCTTTAACTGCGCATAGAGTCATTAATGTGACTCTGCTAACAGGAACCAGTGACAGCCTCAGATACATTGAAGGCTTCTTGGACCTGATACGTATATTATATGCAGAGATATGTGGAGTCTCGTGTTCCCGCTGATATAATAATGGAAGAAAGGAGCAGATTCTATGATGTTGTATACTTCACTTACCTTTCTGTTCCACATGAGTGTTTGTATTCAACACTTAAAGAGAATACGCTGCAAGAAGATTAGACTTATTCTTCGGTGGTTTGTTGCGTCAGGTGTCTTTGTGTCGTCTCTGTTATGTAACAACAGGACATCATGTTGCTAAGCGTAGTAGTAATGAGATGTCAGGCTTCTGATTCTTACCACACAAACAAAACAAAATGCACTTTTCTGTTTGAAACGCACACAAAAGTGCACGATGAGTGTGTTTCATACGATACGCCGATTGAAAATCGTTCTTATATTAGTCCGTCAAGAAAAGGAAAATTACATGAAACTGTTTATGATAAAATGAAAAGCTGTGACGATTTTTAGTGCTGTAATGGTTTAGTTTAGGCTTTGGTTCAGAGCGGCAGCTAAGAAACGTCTTATTCTCTGTTTCAGTCGCTACAATTAATTTATGGCAAGTAGTCACAAAACAAGTATTTTTAATTAATGATGCCCTAAACAAACAACCGATGGTTTATATTTTCTGTCAGTCAGCTTCTTCTGATGGTCTGCGATTATAACTCGACTCAGTATCCTCGCTGTGATTTTGAAATGCAGTGAGGTGAACGTGGGCTCAGATCTTGGTCCATGTTGTTTGTTTACTTTGCTGTTTAATCCAGGAGGAATTTAAAGGCTTTTCCATCCTTCGCTATCACATGAAAGACAACTTCCACCCAGGCAGGTGCAGATTCACATTCACTGTGGGGGGTTTTCACACCGTGACGAACAATAGTTTCCTTCCTGCTATAATTTATCAGTTCAAGATACTTTTTTTTTTTTTTTTTGTGCCTGTCCCGTTTGGCTCTTTTGCATCAGAATTGTTGTCTAAAGGCAAAGAAAGATGCCCAACGGATTTACTTTACCAAACTGACCATCCCAGCCTTGCCGTAATGGTCCATTTGATTCACCTTTTATTGTTTATTTTATTTTCACTTACTGAATACGGGACAGACTTGACTGGGAGAAAGAAAGAGGGAAAGAGAAACAGCTGAGAAGAGGGACGGGGGAGAAGGGCAAAAGACAAAAACCAACAGAACGGGCAGAGGAAAAAAAAAAAGTTCAAGATACTAAAAAAGAAAAGTCAGAAAATGTCATGATTTATACCTGCAGCGCAGGTTAGTGGGAACCCATCACTTCTTTGTTCACAACTTTGAGATAAATAGGTTGAGCTCCACTTGAGGTGAAATCCGAGTCCATCCCGACAGCAAATACCTCTGTTTAAAAGGTCAGATATCAAGAGAAGCATCACAGTTATTGCAGTGCCACCAAGTAAACCTGTCGCACAGTGCGAACACGTAGCTGTAGAGCTGCTGTGTGTCTTTGCCTCCATCGTGATCGTGACGCTCTCACCAGCATTTATATCTTCATCTTCTTATCCACGCGACTGTTAGCAGTGCAGCTTTCCAATATGCTAAAATGTGGCTTTTGCTTTTATCTTCAGATCTGATTTCCCACTTTTTTAGTCACAGGCGCACTTAATCTGAGATTGCGTACAGTACATATCAGTCTGGACTACACAAAGGATAGAAAGGTGGTTTATGAAGCATTTCTACATAACTTGAGTAGAAAAATCATATAAACAAATGATGGAGAAGCTTCCCAGCGTCTGAAATGATAAAGAGCATTAAAGCCTGTGTGAAATGTTGTTACTGCAAATAGAGCTGCATTTTACTTCCTCTGGGGAGGACGTGGGAATCTGATGGAAAAATGACTTTCAGTGTATTTATTCACCTCAGTGCGGTGAGACTAGCATGAGGAAATACATCATTTTTGTGTAAATCTTCTGTAACGACACCTAATTTGGGAGTTACATGTATTGACATATAAAGACACCTTTATCTATAAAGTTTCATCAGCACGAACACTGCTGGGCTGTAATTGAAAAATGACAGACTTGATGCAGTGCAAGGTAGTGCATACTTACCTGCAAACAAAAGCAAAGTAATAATTTTTTCCTTATTTGAAGATAAATTGCATGCTAGGTAAATGTGTGTTTGCACCAACAAATATAATCTGACAGCAAGAAGATGTGAGGGCCTCGTGGAGATTTGATCGTTTGAGGGGCAAGAGAAGGATGAAGGCTCAATCCTGTGTCTGTTATTTAGGGTGTGATGTGAATAAGGATGAGATCATAGTCCTGTTTAAGAGTCAGCTGTTTGGTGTGTCACTGTTTCCACTGCATGTGTTTCTCTACAGCTACTGAAGCTGTTTTAATAGGATTACTTTACAAATGTTTTGGGAGACTCGCTGATCATTGGTGGAAACAACTGTGCATTGTGTTTTGCAGTTCCAGAACTCTAATTTCTCTTTTTACTACATTTTAACAACAAGTATGGTTGCAGTGGAGGATGCTGTCGAGTTTTTGGAGTAAAAACCACATTAGGACTAATAATTCGATCGTCTGTGCATGGTTTTTGACCTTTTGTAATGCAGCTCTGGTTTCCCGTTACCTTCTCCTGAAAGTCTGTCATGTGGGGATGAAAGAAAAAATTGCTAATAGAAGTTTAATTTTTACTTATTAAACTGAAAGGGACAGACAAGCTTCTATCACAGTGAAAAGAAAGACGGCAAAACCTAGAAGCTGATCACTAAAAGAGCAAATCAAGAAGGTTAAATGATTAAAAACACCCTCCTCTTCACTGAGCAGGATTTAGCAGTCAGCAGCAGACTGCAGAGTCGCTCTGGCTCTCCTCCCTCTGGCCTTAAGTACTCCTGGTCTAATTGCAGACTACAGACATTTGCTCAGAAGGGAGGCTGAAGAGAAGAAGGCAAGACATGCAGGAACTACCCCTGAGCTCAACCAACCCAAAACAAAGAGACCATTGCAGAGCTGCTTTACACAGAGCTGCTTTACACAGTGCTCACTGTTTTCATGCAGCAGACTTTGTTCTTACATTATGTCCTCTATTTTTCCTCATGTCTAACATTAGTTAAGCTAGCAACAAAAAAAGAAGCTAGGTGTGTTTAGGCTTTACTAGAAGAAAAGTGGCTTGAGAACAAAAACACTCATCTGTTCCTGTTGTTTCATAAATTACTCGAACATTAAAGTTTAAACACAGTATGACCTCAGCTATGAGGTCAGGCCCTGTTAGCTGTGTTAGGATGCTCCTGTTGCTGGGTGGATGCTTCCATTAAAGACTAAAAGTAAACACAGAATCTAAATTTTCAGTTATGGGGAGTTCATCAAGACTCTTGTTTGCTTTGGGAAAGGAAAACTTCAGTCACTGGTTTGTTATTGCTTTCCCTGGAGGGGCTTTACAGTGATTGGTTTTGGGACTTTGGGGTTAGCTGATCCCGTGTATTACAAGCTAATGAAAGCTCTGATGCTCCTTGAAGGACGAGGTTTTTGTAAATGATTGTGGTTTAAGCCATTCAATACTTTAACTGTACTTATATTGTATGGTATACCAGTATTATGGTATGCTGTAAATACTATATGGTAACTTTACAGAAATATGTGATTTCTTTTTTTTTTTTGAACTTCTGTGCAAGATGTAACAACGCACTAACAGTAAGAGCTAAGTCTTCAGCTAAGAAAACCATATGTCGTTTATTTATTCATTAATCTGAGAGAACTGAAATGCAGTTTGTGAAGGGCAGAAGAAGATTTGTGCCTCAAGACACTGAAAGGGACATTTTAACGGTTTGTTTTACTCAAACTGAAAGCTCATTGCTGTGGTTTCCATTTGATCTCAACCATTCGGCCAAGAAATTGCTCAAGAAAGAAGAAACATCTATGGAATAGAAGTTGATTTATCACATTATACCTGGGCAGATTGTCCGTGGATATCTTGATGGTGTCGGATATGAGGACAGAATATCACCATAATATTGGTGGAGCTGCTAGTAAAAAGCATGCAGCTGGCTGCGGTACATAGGGTACCAGGACTTTGGTGGACTAACTGCCTCTGATGTTACCTACTAACTGAAAACTCTGCTCTGATGTCCTGTGTTTAACAAGGACACCAAACACCAATAAAACAGCCTTTTTTTTCCAGCTTTTTTTTTTTTTTGTGGTCTAATAAGTTATGATTTTATCTAACACCGTTTCACTGGCTTTTTTTTTTTTACAACCTTGTAGCCTCAACCCCTGTGTGTGCATGTGCGCGTGCGTGTATTTGCCTGCTTTCCTAACTTCTTTTGTCTTTGTGTTTTCCAGATGTATCACTCTGACCATGGTGTAGACTTCCCTGACCTCTCCTTCCAAATCCCTGGCTGCCCTGCAGAGAGAGGCCCAGCAAACAGAGTGTGAATACAACTGCCAACACACCTCGTTTCAGCCTCCCCCCCTCACCCGTACAGGGCCTCGCTCAGCTGCTGCAGCTCCAGTCCCTCCCTCGCTCCTCATAGGCCATGGACAGCCCTCCTAAACTGTCTGGTGAGACGCTGATTGTGCACCACATTCCCCTGGTGCACTGTCAGGTGTCAAGTAGGCGGCAGGGTGGCTGCGGGAGCTCAATGAAGAGGACCAACCCTTTTAGCCCACCAGAGAACCTGGGCTTGAGTCGCACCACTTCCCTTCCGGAGAGAGACGTCCTCCAGAGAGAAGCTCTCCTCTACAGCAGCCTGATCCAGACCTCTAGTGGCTCCTGGTCCTCCCACAATGGAGGAAGAGAAAGAAAGGGTGGCGGGAGAGGCGGCAGCACAGCCAGCGATGATTCATCATTTGCCTCGAGCAATTCGGAGGACCAGCTGATTACAGCGCACACATTACCCAGAGCCAAACCGAGGAACAGGAATCCATTCCGTCAAAATCCTTTTCTGCTGAATACCGAAGAGGACGAGGATGACGAAGGGGAAGAAGATGACGGTGACAACCTCAGTGGTTACCTTGAAGACTCTTCCTTTCACCTTCACAGTGACGCTCACTCTGCTCTCAATGACGGTTTGACTTCCTTCCATTTGCACGACCTTGGTTTTGCTCCCCAGCCCTTCCTCCTTCACAGCTCAGTGGGAGGAAGTAGTGGGGAGTCCCTGAGAGGTGGCGCCTCGGATCTTTCAAACCACCTAGAAGACCTCGAAATTTTGGAACTTGCCAGTCAACGGCGCCATGGAAGCAGTGGCTCCAACATGTCGATGGACTGCGGAGATCAAGATTGGGGTGATGACGACGAAGAAGACGAAGATCATCCGATGAGGTGTGGGAGAAGCAGCAAGACGGGCTCCTACTCTTCCAGCTCTTCCACCCAGCACTGCTCCTGCTGTACTCTCTCCCAGAATTACCCTCGGCACTTCCCCGAGGCGTTCTCCGAGCCGTTCTTAGAGTGCCAGCAAGGCTACGGCAGCGACTCCTCCTGCAACAGCTCCGATGGTGTGCTCGTCAACTTCAGTGCCATCTACAACAAGATGAACAACAGCGTCCCAGAGAAGCCACCAGTGTCCGGTCCCACCAACCTCAACAGCTCCACCGACCACTCCTGCACCTCATCTGCTTCCGATCTACCAGGAAACCGAGACTCGACTGGAGGGGCTTTCTATTTGGACCTTCACACTTCTCCAACCGAACCTCCCCTATCTCAACAACTTGGAAACACATTCCCTCTCATCCGTGAACCACGCCTGTCCTCTTCCTCCACCTGTTCCTGCTCAGTGGAGCACCAGGGGGCTCTTGACCTCGATGCCAACTGCAACTCCTACCACCCTCCTCACGCAGGGTCCTCTGGCGACCTCGCTTCTTGTCTCCAGAGTCAGGCACGACTGGTCGTCGCCACCCAGAACTACTACAAACTGGTCACGTGCGACCTTTCGTCGCAGTCGTCCCCGAGTCCCGCGGGCTCCTCGGTTCACAGTTGCTCAGACGAACACAGCAAAGGCAGCCCCACCCCGACTCAGCCGAGTGAGTACTTCCTCTTCAGGCAGCAAGCTTACGAGGAAGGAGTGGAGGAAGAGGATGAAGAGGGAGAGACATCTAGGGTGAGTGGAGAATC